TCATATAAATTTATGTCTACAGAAGCTAATCTTGGCAATATTGAAGTGGGACTTACGCTGGCCTCTGGGAAGAATAGTGTAACACTGTACTGCCACTGCATCATATTCAGCAAGGCAGGTAAGTTGGTCATTTTCAGTCTGACCAGTCCTTGTAGATAGGACAAGCATTTGGGGGGATAGAAACAGTTCCAGTACAAGCATTAAGAGAGGGATGAGGTTTGACAGGAATGGGTTTGCCAGTAAGGTCAGTTAGGGTAGATAGTGCACAAGCTTGGGATTCAGATGTAACTGGGTCAAGGTGTGAACGATCTGAGCGACTGCGAAAGGTAACCTTGCCTACTTTCTTCTGGAGGCACTGTTGAAAGAGAAGGGTATTCCAGGATAGGGGCTTGGGGGAATCACAGAGTCGATCCCACTTGGTTGGGCCAAAGAAAGTACTCAGAAGGTTTGCAAAGGTAGAGGCAATAGAAGGACGAGGGCGAGAGGAAGATGGGGTGGTGTGGAGTGAAGTAGTTCTGTTGGCGGAGTACAATAAGGATGAAGAGTAGTAATAAGGGAAGAGGGAGTAGACATTGAAGAGGACTGTGCGTTAGATGGAGAGGAGAATGTTGGGAGAGGGGAAGGGGTACCTTAATGCCCTTATTATGGGTAAAGAATCTTCATTATTGGACATGGTGAGCCTGAATAAAATGGGGTATAGAAATGGTATACCCCCTAGGGTCCCCATGAGTAGTAAGGAATATGCAATTTAGCAAGGGAATACCATGCCCATGGCTCCCGGAGGCTGTTCATGACTGACAAAAAGCCAGCCTTTCATCCTTTCAGCATCGCTCTCACACCTTAGGAATGGGATAGAAGGGGATGAAGATACAGAAGAGGAAAGGAGAGATTGGATAAGGGAAAGAAACAGAAAACTAGTTCAGTTGAGGGCTGAGGGGTGATCCCCAACATTGGGTCCTAGTCTCCATCTCCCAAGACCCCCCACCACCACCACCACCACGACATCAAGGGATTGCCAAGTAAAATTAGCATTATTATTAGCCACACAATGTTTGTTGCAAATTTATCTTGCATTTTTCTTGTTTTCTTTCTTTAACTTTTTTTTTTTTTACATATTTCTTAAAACCCTCTGTTTTATTTCCCTGTTATGAAACATCCTCTAATAAAACTTCTTATGAAGCAAAAATAACAGTTAACTTTTAACTATTTTGTGTTTAAGAGAGGCATCAATATTTGCCTTAAATCCAACACATATGGTCTCAAATACATACATACACATCCACTCCTATTATACAAAAGGATACAAATAAAACACATTTAAAAGGGTATAAATTATTAAAGCTTTATCATATCTTATACAACAATGTAATATGTATAATAATTTCATTTTCTTTTGACTGACTCTTTAGATCCAAAGCACAGCAAGCAGGTAGCCAAATCAGACTAGATATTAGTGCACCTATAAGACTGCCACCTCAACTGTAGAGACCAACATTATGGTTGGTTCAATAGAGTTTCTTGAAAATGTTCATTTTTATCATGCACTTTTATGCTGAGAAATTTAACATCCTCAAACAAATATTTTAAGTGGGTGATATGTTACCACACATAATTTCAACCAAAACACAATGAAACAAACAAACAAGAACATTGATACTCATGATCAGAGACATGAATATTAGCAATCAAATAGCATCATCCAAATAAATTTGTGCCCTTTGAAACACTTAAAAACAACAACAACAGAAGTCACAAAGTGATCCTACTATCTTTTCAATAAATATAAAATCTTGCATTTGATATCAGCTTGTGCTTCACTTCACAATATGTACACTACAGTTATATCATTAGGAATTTCAACAGCTGAGCAAAATCAGAAATGTTTCGTCTTTTCACAGGTTTTGTCTTGCATATAATGTAACAGAGTTCATATCAAAAAGCCTAACTAAGGATGCCACTTGCTGACAGCCATAAACTTGGTAATCCTTTAATCCATTAATTAATTCATCATTATTAATGACACATGAAATTCTATATAACCTGAAATGCTTTACATAACAATTTCTAAGCCTCTGTAAAATCTTACAGAGCACTGTATGGACATACACTGAACATTTAGCATACCTAATCTTTGCTTTGTGAGCTGTTTTCCATGGAAACGGTTTCTTAACTTTTACACAATAAGGCTCTGGCTAAATAAAGACATTTCTCATTTCTGCCAATACATTCGTCCTCTATAGTTTCATAAAAGGTAACCATACGATTTACTCATTTACAAGTTGAGAATAACAAAAGCCTATATTTAGTTATGTATGCTACAAAATAGAAGCATCATTACCGTTACCATTACTTATTCCTATGATTATGCTGCTTTAGATTCCAGACCAGCTATCTAATCCCTGCCTCATATGATACTTTTTTTCATTTCTAACTACTTTATATATAGCTGTCAATTAAGTAATTGAGAGAGAGAGAGAGAGAGAGAGAGAGAGAGAGAGAGAGAGAGAGAGAGAGAGAGAGAGAGAGAGAGAGAGAGAGAGAGAGAGAGAGAGAGAGAGAGAGAGAGAGAGAGAGAGAGAGAGAGAGAGAGAGAGAGAGAGAGAGAGAGAGAGAGAGAGGAGAGGAGAGAGAGAGAGAGAGAGAGAGAGAGAGTGTGTGTGTGTGTGTGTGTGTGTGTGTGTGTGTGTGTGTGTGTGTGTGTGTGTGTGTGTGTGTGTGTGTGTGTGTGTGTGTGTGTGTGTGTGTGTGTGTGTGTGTGTCTTTCTTTACACACACATGCAACATTGTATCATCTTACTACCTGCCACTACCTTCCAGGCATAGCAAAGCCTCAACCTTCATCACTAGTACCAGATCTATACTGTATAGAATCACAGCACACTAAATGTTTTCACCGGAAAGCAAGGTATTCTGGACAGCCAGGGGCAACTTTATATGTTCTATAAAATAAATATCTGGTTAATACAGTTTCACTTACTTGAATATTATAAACAATGACAAGCACAACTTTTGAAGAATCAAAGGATGCTTTTCAAGAGTTACCACAAACATAAATACATTGTTTACAAGGATCATGCAAATAATATTACAATAAAACATATATAAACAAGTAAAACAGACAGAGATATTTCACACAAGATATTGTACATTACAAATCTTTAATGATTTCCTCCATATTAATAATAAGAATACAACTTCCACTGGATAAAAGACGAACTACAATATCTGATAGAGGATTTGCTTTGTGTTATAAACTGAAATGTCAGACAGTTTCGTTTAGGAGCACCTCGCAGCAGTCTAAAATTTAGGTTTGAAAAGATATATTCTCAGTATGATGATTATAGATAAGAAAAATAAGCACACTTTTACAAAGTCACATAAATAATTTTCCATTATTAATTAATAAACTGCTATATTAATATTCAATATGGACAACTATGAAGTACTTTAAATCTGGGCCTTTAACTTGTATATGCACAGCTCACCAAGAAAACATTTCTCTCACTTCAAAAATAGTAGTGTTTAATTGAAGTTTTAACTTCATATTCAGAGAGAAAAAAAAGAAGAACCTACCCCGATAAGTTTTGACTTCACACAAAAGAAAGTTAAATATGTTTATATAAATATTGTCTTCTCTGGACCAGTAAATTAATTGGCTTTCTCACTTTCAGATTTCTTAATACACAACCTGAATGTTTTCTACCTCTAAAGCTATGTTGTTAACAATTTACATATGTACCAAAATGAGATGATGTCTAATATAGAAAAAATAGGCAAACATTCCAGACAAGCTAGGGAACTTGCATATTCATAATAACTATTGCATATTCCGAAATCCCCCAAACCCCTTCCCCTATGTATATGCCTCCCTACCTTTGCAGGTTTATTTACAAAGTTAAAACGTAAAAAAATGTCTTAGGAATGAAAAGGACAGCAGTAGCCACAAGCAGGGCAAAATGGAGTGAGAAGTTTTTAAAAGAGCTCAGGTATATATATATATATTATATATATATATATATATATATATATATATATATATATATATATATATATATATTATATTATACATATACATATACATATATATATGATGGATGATATACAAAGATCATATTAACCCATACAGCTTACAACCATAAATGTAAATATTAAGATTTTACACACATGCATGAACAAACAAACACGCCCACCCATTCACTCACTCAGTCTCTCTTGCAGTCCTATCATACATTAACATCTGTTACACAGAAGGAAGGAAATAATCTATAAAAGGATTAAATATGAAAAAGCTGCCTTTACATATTAAAAAAAAAAATTAAACTACCCTATCCTATTATCTACCACGATGTCAACATAACCTGTACGGAAAACAATCACAAAAAAATTATGGTCTAAACAACCTTTACTTGCAAGATTCTGATAGATGGGAAGGGACAAATAATATAGAGGGAAAGAAAGAAGTTAAGAAATATCAATTTTGTCAACAATGCCAGCATTGTTTCTTGGGAGTTTATGCATCTCCCTTGGGTGGAAAGCTATGTGCCCTGGAAGACTCCTAAATCTATTATAGACATGCGCCCTCTTAAGTGGTGATAATAATCGATACCTGTTATTTCAAAAGTGTGATTGACATCATCGAACTCATCCACTTATAGTCAACATTTCAAAAAGTTGCAATAAATAATAGTGCTTCCTTTGCAATAATAGTATAATAAGTGATATCAATATAATAATAGTAGAATGATAGTAATAACATCATCAATAATAATCATGGGCATAATTATAACAATGAGAGATGATGATGATGATGAAAAAGTATTTATCTATATACTGAGTATAATAATAATAATAATAATAGGAATTGATGATATCTCTAATAAGATAAAAATAATAATAACTTAAATATATAATAATAATAATAATAATAATAATAATAATATAATAATATAATTAATAATAATAATAAATTAATAATTAACAATAATAATAAATCATAATTTATAATAATAATAATAAAAATAATTAATAGTAATAATAATAATAAGCAGAAGAATAGTAACAACCAATATAGATAAGAATACAAATGTTAAACTATCAACTTTCACCATCATTCCCTGTTCCAGGTACCTCAGGGAAGACAATACAACATACATTTGGCATAATTCTATCACAATCATTGCAATATGGAATTCATGGTCACACAATGACATGTGTATGTGAGCACAGCATCATTCAGTCTCTCACACTTTTCCATATTCCATTTTTTTTTTCATAAAGCTTTGATTTTCATTTCCATTTTTTCCATTGAGCACAAGTCAGAGAAAAAGACAATCATAAATTCAAAGCTATGGGAAATAAAGGTAAAATTGGCAGAAGGAATTACATTAATCATCTACAAACATAACTTCTAGGGAGACAAGAATCTACTTTCATCAATATATAACATAAACTTTTAAAACCTTATACAGTAATCTGCAGACAACCTTTTTTATACACACCCAATTGAGGATAAAACTATTGCATTCCAAAATAGATACTTGGTTTGTCTTTTGCTTAGAATAAAAGTTTGTTAAAGTAATAGTTATGATTTCTTTACATACTACCCAATTAGTATGTATGAATAAATATTTAATGTATATATTCTTTTATGTAGATAGGTTTCAACCAAATATCATATAAGTAAAATCAACCTATACTTACATTGAAATGGTCAAAATTAAACTTGAATGTATTGAATTATATGCATATTCAACCAACAGTTATCATGTAATCATCAAATAAAAACTCCAGTTTGCACCACAATATGCAGCACACTATAACAACCATATATGTCTATATAATTTTCAATATCAACAACAGAAATCATGAAAAGTAAGAGACTATCATATTCACATTGAAGAGCACCTCCTATTCTAACTTGAATAACTGCTCTAAAAACTGAATATCATGACCTCTATTATCACAGACCAATTAAAATATCCCTGCACCATGTGCTACTATAATTTCCTAGCACAACTATCAAGCACAGCTAGCTTCTATATATCCTGTACTGTGGACTGGTTAGTATCATCTACTGGTTTCTGCACTGGGACTGGTTCTTTGCCTTCTTCAACGGGGTCATCTGCTGTATCCAGCATGGATCTGAAAAGCACAATTGTATGGCATTCCTTGGGCTCTCACTAACTTAAAGCTATTACAAATACAAGATTTATCTCCTCACAGGGAGATAAATAAAGCAAAGAGAGAAAGACGGAAGAAAACAGGGTTGAACATTTCATTATCATGGGGGGGGGGGGGGGGGAGAAGAAGTAGAAGAGAAAAAAAAAACAATAAAAACTAACACTTACTCTCTAGCTAAAGCTTCTTGTTTGTTATGTAACTGTGTCTGAAGTATAGCCACTTCCTGCTTGAGGGAGGAAAGGCAGGTCTCTAGACTAGTGAGCGGCAATGTGGATCGGGGCGGACGGGCAGATCTTTCCATCAGCTGAGTGAGTGACGTAAGGTCAAGAGGGGAGGGGGAAGGAATCACCCCCGCCTCCGAGCTGATGGTTGATTCTTCGGCTTCCTGGGCTTCTCTCTCTGCTTTTTGTATCTGCAAAATGGTAAGTGATTTCTGAAAAAAAACTGTGACCCTATAAAGCAGCTTTTAACCTACTAACGCTGGTATATTTTGAAGCTGAAAATAATAGTTTCCGGGCGGCTACAAAATTGGCACGTGGGGCAGCCTGGAATCTGCCCACGCGCCAGCTGCAGCCCGCAACGTATTCAGAGCGCGAGCTCCGATCAAACGTCACACTGGCAGGACGCCTATCAATGTTTATTTTTCAGGGTCTCATATATGGGACACACGTCATAAATGGGTTTAGCTCTATATCATAATCAAATGTTTTTCATAAAAATACACATTTGGTAAATTTTTAATGATTAAGAAAGACATTTTAAATTAGAAAAAAAAAAAATAGGTTAGTTATACACAGTAAATAGTAACAATATCAAATTATATATCAAATCTATATATCAATTTCTAATAATACATCCCCTGTGAAAGGTAGGAAACCACACTCATAACACACGCACAAAAGGTAAATTTAATGATGCCATTTTACATCAATGATCATGTAGAACATACAACCAGTTCATTAAAACAAGTAGAAGTGTAAACCTAGTAACTGATATATGTCTCTCATATTTCAGACTTACTTTGAGTTGCCCTAGAGCTGTGTGTAAGGCTGTACGCAATTCCATCGCTTGCGTCTGATAGCTGACTCTTTCCCGTTGCACTTGGCTGAGCTGAGCAGTAAGAGCTGCAACCTCCTGCCTGGAACGAGCAACACTCTGCTCCAATTGCTCTACTGTCATTTGGTGTGAGGCAACTTTAGCATCCAGCTGTTCTTTGACCTGATTCACTTCCTCAGAGCTTGCCTTTAGTTGGCCTTCCACCACCTGTTTCACATGAAAAAAATAATTACATGATAAAGAAAAAAAAGGGCAAGAATATAGTATTTTTCCCATTCATCAACTTGAGACCATATGATAAAAAAGGACAAGACTGAAGAATTGTTCACATTCAAAAAATGGTGAATACACAGAACTACATCCCCTCATAGCAGATTACTTTACATCTTCATTCTAAACTCTCAGAAATTTTGATATGAAACATACCATGATCTGGCTTTCAAATGCAGCAATTTTGGCTACCGAGTCTTGGAGCTGAGTCTTTGTGTTCTGCAGTTCATTAGTTAACAAAAGCTTTTCCTCTTTCACTTTCTGCATTTCTGATGATATCTGTTGTGTTCTGCTATCAATTTCCTTCACACTGTTTTGAAGCTGGGCATTTTTACTTTCCAATTCTGTTATGCGTGCTTCTGCACCTGAGAGATCTTGTTCCTTTGTCTTCAGCGTCTGATTCAAGGTTTGGATCTCAATCTCTAACTGCTCCTTCTGAAATCATAGAATAAAACATGCATACAAAATAACCAATTGCAAAACAATGTTTTGTGGAAATCTACACCTGACAAGAAAATGTAGCAGTAAGAAAATGTAACAATAATAAATATAGCTCATAATCAAAAAGGAATGAAGTTACAATTACATACCAAAAGCCTGACATCATCTAACTCCTTCTCCTTTGTTGCCATCTTCTCACTGACAGTACTTGAGGAGGAATGGGCCTTCTGGAGCTCTTCTTGGCCTAATCTCAATTCCAGCTCCATTTTCTTAAGCTGTTGGTCCCTCTGGGCAATGGTTTCTTTGAGGCTCAGGACTTCTTGCCGTAGGTTGTCTGAAGTCTTTCCAAGTTCTGTTGATAATGAGCACAAAGTGGCATACATTATCTTCTAGCTTTCAAGATTCATTCTTGCACTCTACAGAAATATATTTCCCAACATCTATTTAATATAAAAAGTATATTCTCATGCTACAGCAGCCATAACAAACTATGAAGTCATTTTCTTGGATCTATCTATGGCTCCTATGTGCACTGGTAACTTTTACAAGCTATCTCAGATAAGAAAATCTAATTTCTTGTAATTTCAAAATTGAGGCCCAGAATACATATCTCTATCACATCTTTAAAACATATCAAGAATATTTTTTTGAAGATTAAACTACCACTATTGAGAACCTTTTTAGTATACTTTATATTCCTGCTTTAAACACTAAAATATTAAATAAGTAAATCATATATATTACCATTAAATTTATCCATGTTATAAAAAAAAACTGATTTACAACTTTCTTAAAAACAAAAATCCTAAAACAAACAATAAATGCATAATTCTATACATACCCTGAAGTCTGCCAATCTCCTTCTGAAGCTGCAAGGTATTGTTGTGATGATCATAGGCCTCCTCACGAGACCTCTCCAGAGCTCCGCGTACTTCTTCCACCTCGCTCTCTAGACTGGCCACTTGACCCTCCAATGCCTCACTACGACCCTCAAGCTCTATGTATCTGATCAAATATTGGAATGTGAGTTTTCTTAATATAAAACTGATAATAACAGTAAGAAAGAAACTGCAAAAATAAAATCCAAATTATGGAAGAAAATTCTAGTATGACACACTTTTACATCATATCACCATGATGACATATTTGATGAATATCAGCTTACCTGCACCTCAGCACAGAATATCTTTGTTGCTCCTCATTCAGAATACGTTGGTGGTCTTCAGCCTGTGTCTGCATCTCCTTCTCTGCTGACTTGCGTCCCTTCATGTGTTCTTTTAGCTTCCTGGTTAAGAGTCGGACATTTGACTCATATCGTCTTTGCTTTTCCTGGAACTCTTTAGTCATAACTCCCATTTTTGTTTTAACTTCCTCTAACTCACTATTTTTGGATTCAGCTTCACACTCCATGCTTTTGACTTTAGCTGTCATCATTTGTATTTCTGAACTGTTGGTTTCTGCACTTTTTCCAGAGTTGCTATCACAAACTTCAGTCTCTCCTGACACCCGCAGTTGTTCTATCTTTTGAAGGAGGTCATGAATCTTTTTCTTATAAACTGATTCTGGAACTGAATCCTCCAACACAGATTCAACTGCTACCTGAGAGTTAACTGATGAGGAACTGAGGCAAGGAGCTCTCGCTTCTTCTTCTTTATAAATGCTCAGTCTGTGTTGAAGGTTCTGAATCTGCTCCTCCTTGTCTTGCAAAGCTTTCGATGTTAAATTTACCTGAGCCTGCAAATCTGCCATGGTTTTGTCAAACTGTGCGCCATTTGTCACTGTTGCATGTGGCGATTCACAAAGGTAACCAAGGTTGTTCATGGGTGTTCCTGGTACCAAGCCTTGAGTACTATCATGGTCCATCCCTGACATGCCAAGTCTCTCCTGGCTTTTACTAAATGTCTGGTCAGCACTACTTCCCCTCCCTGAGAACCCTAACTGCACTGCTGGTTGGGTGCTTGTGTCTCGTTCAGGAATACAATCTCTTAAGCTTTCAAATTTGGCCATCCACTCCTCTTTCTCTGCTTCTGCATGCTTTAGTTGTACTTGATACTGCATAATATTCTCATGAGACTGCTGGTTAAGTTCCTCAAGATTAGAAATCTTTTGCTGCAGATCTTCTTTTTCTTTATTCAAGCTATCTATCCTTAAGCAGAGCTCATCTTCTCTTTCTTTTAGAATGCTGTTTTGACCAGATGTTTCATTCAAGGAAGAATTCAGGGTGGTTATATCTTTCTCCTGATTCTCTATTTTTGTTTCTAAATCTTTAAGCTTCAGGTTAAAGGCTTCATAGTCTTTCAGCTTCTCTTTACAAGCTTCCAACTCCTTGCATTTTGATTTTAGAGACTCAAACTCTTTCATTTTTGCTCGCATTAATAAGCTTTCTTTCTTGGTGTTTTTCATGGTAGATTCTAAACCTTCCTTTTGTTTCAAGACTTCCTTCAGCTTTGTGTCACTCTCACGAACCTTGGTTTGCAATACCAAGATTTCTCTTTGTAGATTATCTATATTTTTTCCACCTTTCTTTTTGCCTCCTTCCTTGTTTTCATTTGCAGCTGCAGAGTCCTTCACTAAAGTTGCATTTACAATAGGTGTTTTCTTCAGGTGATTGTTCTCAGCAAGGAGCTGAGTGACTTGTTCATTTAATCTATTTTTCTCCTGATTTATTCTTGATATCAGTGACTGTGCATCACTATGGGTCTTCTTCATAGTATCCAGTTCTCCTATTTTCATCTGTAACTTACTCGTCAGCTCTCTGACACTTAGGTCTTTCTCCTCCTGCAAATGTACAAGGTTTTTCTTAGTGTCCTGGTGGGTTTTAGAGATGGTATCTAACTGTGTCTTTAAGGAGGTTATAATGTCCTCCTTTTCCTTATGAGACCTAGTGAATTTATCTAATTCTTTTATTTCTTCATTTAGTTTACCTTGTAACTGACTCTTTTCTTCCTTTAACAACTGAAGTTCTTTTAACAATGCACTGTGTGTTTGCTCAATAACTTCTTTCTTTTCAGTTACCTTGCTTCTTTCATCCTTTTCAATTTGGAGTGCCTTAGTCAATTCAGCAACTAATTTTTCATTACTTTGCTTCTCTGACAAAATTTTTGCCTTTTCTTCCTCATGCAACTTAACTAGACTCTCAATCTTCCTTTCCATATTCTGTTTTAACTTCCTTTCTTTCTGTATGCTCTCCTTAAGTTCCGCTTTTTCTCTCTTCTGCAGCTTTTCATGTTCCATATATGCTTCTGAGTCTTGTCTTAGGGCCAACGTCTCTTCCTTCAACGCTTCCCACTGTCTGCGTAACTCTATGTAGGTCTTCTCGAGGGACGAGTTTTGTTCATGAGCTACATACAGTTCCTCATCCTTCTTAAGGATAGCTTCTCTATAGTTTTCTACACTTCCCTGCATATTTTGGATCTGCTCCTCCCGCAATCGAACAGCCTCACCCAAACCCTTTTTCTCTATTTCTAGAGATTTCAGAACTTGTTTCAGCCCAACTTGCTCTGATTCAGCTTTTTCTCTGGCTGATGACAATTCTTTTATTTCTTGTTTAAGTTCACTCATCTCCTTCACAAGTTTCTTTTTCTCTTCATCTTCAATGGTCTTCTTTTCTAAAGCTTCATATTTTTTCTCTATTTGTGTTCTTGCTTTCAAGAGTTCCTCTGCCTCTTTCTTGTGTACTTCAATCTGTCGGTCCTTAGCTGCCAGATCATGCTTCATTCTATAGAAGCTCGAGGAAAGCTTTGTCATGTCCTCTCTTACTTTGATAATAGCATCATCTACTTCTTTCTTCTCATTACTTGCTGCTGCAAGTCTCACCTCAAGCTTTAGTTTTTCTTCCTTCAGCATATTTATTGATGCATCTTTGGTCTTACCTTCCTCTTGATGTTTGCTTAAAGAAGACTTTAGTTCATCCACAGTTTGCTCAAGATTTGATATGCGAATGTCTCTTTCACCAAGAACTTCCTGATTAACAGCTTCAGATGTCCTTAAATCCTTCAATTCATTTTCATATCTTGTTAATAAGCTACACTTATGCCTTAGGTCATCTTTGACGAAGTCAAGCTGCCTCTCAGTATCAGCAAGATCTAATCGAAGTTTATGTATTCGCTGCCTATCCTGCTCTAGTCTCTGTCTTCTGTCTTCCATAAGTTTTGTGTCACTGCCACGATCCCGCTCCAGCTGAGAGACAAGTGCCTCACGCTCTGCCATGTCAGCCTGAAGAGCTTCAAGGTGCGCAACCAGAGAGGCTTTCTCTCGTACTGCTCTTGCTTGCCCATCCTCTGCCTCCCGCTTCATGGTTTGTACTGTTATCTCTAATGTATCTTTCTCTGATGTAATTTTGGCTAAGCTTGACTTTGTATCCAAAAGATCTTGCTGTAGTTTTGCTCTTGCAGCTTGTGCGATCTGTAACTGTTCCTGATACCAAAGGCTGGAAGCATTGGATTTTTGCAGTTCCATTGCAGATTTATTAGCAGCAGTTTCTGCCTGGATTTGTGCCTTTGTTTTGACCTCACAGTCCTCTTGGACCTGTGATAACCGAGCCTTCAGACCATCTAACTCAGCTTTCATGTTGGTTTCTGCATCCATAAACTGGCTTATTCTCATCTCTAATTGCTCATTCTTTGAAATGTGATCTTTGATTAGTGACTGTGAGTTCTCATAATCCTTAGATATTCTCTGAATCTTCTCTTCTGCATTTCTGAGATTCTCCTCCAGGTTCTTATTAGCATCTTCATACTTTTGTAATCTTGCACTCATCTTTGATTCTGCATCCTTTGCAGTAGTAGCTGCATCTTTACTGGCTTCAGATTCCTTCACAGCCTCAGATATTTTGGACTGCAACTGATTCTTCTCATACACAGTATTTTCAAGTTCTTGTTTCAGCATTTCCAACTGTCCCTCTAAATTTGCTCTTTGTTTTAATACCTCAAAATATTGTTTCTGGTTTGTCTCAGTTATTTTCGTCTGCATCAGCTCAAGTTGTTGCTGATACAGTTCTTTTTCTCTTACTGCATTTTGGACTTGGATGGATAATCTGTGAAGTTGTATCTCTAAATCCTCTTTCTGTGCTTGAAGATCCCTAATAATCTTTTCATAATCTACAACTGGCACCGGTTTTGATGTGGCTGATTTACTGTTTGCTTTACTTACAAGTTTTTTATAGTCATCTGGAGGTATCACAGCATCTGACACAAGGCGTTTAATCCTAATATACTCATCCTCATACCCACTCAGATCAGATAATGTTGATAAATTGGATGAGGTGTCTGAAAAGTTTGAAGAAAGTTCTGCTCCACCACTAGATTTGTCCGAGTGATTGTCAGAGGCATTTGATACATGTTCTAAAGCCTGCCGCATCTGCATAATTGCTGCAGAGAGTACTGGTCTTGTTATAGGTCCTGCTGCATCACTTCTTGCATCATTGAGACTGGTTTTTGATGATGAGGCTTGACTACGTGAGATAGGTGTGAGCTCAGAACTGCTTTGAGAAATGAGTGTACTTCCACTTGCCACTGATGTACCAGCTGAAGATCCACTGGCTACAGAGGATTGGGAGGCATGATGGTCAGCACGCTTCTGCTTCAGTTTCCTTGAACGGCACTTTCGCTTTGCAGGCCCTGAGGGGGGACGGTGTTCTGACTCGCTCTGCCCAATGTATGATCGTTTTTCTACTGTAGTTGTGATAACACCTGCTGGATACTGATGCACTTCTCGGTAAACTTCAACTGGTCCATGATCACTCATACCAACAGGAACAGTAATAACTCGACTGTTCTTTCTAACCAGCTGTTCCGATCTCTGTTCCTCTGGCAGTGATACAACACTGTTCTGTCTTAAAGGTTCTGTCACTCCGGCTTGAACATCTGCAGATGTTATGTTCTTCATGAGGACATCATCAGGGTGACCATTCCCAGCTGGATTAAATGACTGCAACTTAGTGGTGGAAAGCTGATGCACTTTGGGTTGGAGAACAGATTGCAGTGAGCCTAACAACTTCCCTGTGTGAATATCTTTTGTGTTAACTGGTTCAGGGAAGCTATATGGATGCAAAACACTAGTCTTCTCTGTAACTGCATTAACCACAGGAGAACCTCCATTTGCAGCAGATACCTGCTTTATCGTCTTTTTCTCCATGGTGCACAGAACTTGATCTAGGACTTCCTGTGACACTGGGGGGATCCTAAGAGGACCTGTAAAACAGAATGAGAAATCAATGTTATTTACTTTCATTCTGCAGTTGTAAATTACAACAACCTTATTTTGCATCCCAAGAAATCACCACCAAAGAGAACTTGTGAAATTTTATCACACAGAAATATGGAAGTCTATACTACTAATCTCAAAGGAATGTACATCATGGAAATTCATATATTCATATTATCAATACTAGTAAAAGAATAAAACCCACATATCCCCTAGCTGTATTTACACAGCTGGCACCAAAACTATTGACAAAAATAAATGCATCATCTAAACAGAAGTGGTTTCTCCATGATAAGGACTCACCTATCAGTGTTTCCGTGAGAGCCAAAGCAGATGATGCCTCACTCAGCACCTTCAAAGGATCTGCCTCATTTTTGGTGTTTTGTCTTAGCTTTGGGTTACAATCTTGATACTGGTGAAGGAATACATGTGACATTTCAAATCTAGTGGTGAGGATCATTCAAAGGTTTAAAGTGATGAACTAATAACAGGAAGACATTTAACCCATCCATCCCGGGTGTCACATATATGAGACACAAGGAAAAAATTAACAGTTTCGGCCTGCCCGCCATTTAATACCCGGCTTTTCTTTTCGTATTCTGGAACTATTTAATTACATGTGAAAGACTAATCAAATATCTAAAAATCTGTAACACATTCAAATATTTTTAAACAACTAGCATCTACACATTTCCAGCACATAAATAAGCAAAACTAAATAGTATATAGTATATACAGCGGGAGAGGCTCAAAAAGCTGCCATTTAAAAATCTACCCTAGGTCTTGATTATTCTCACACATACACATTACTTACCTGTCTTTACCATTTAAGAAAATCACAAATGAAGTTTCTGTCAGAAAAATCTGGAGTGCTGGGACTACCCCCAATGATCGATATCCATATAAAGAAAAAAAGATCACAAAGAAATTACACAGCTACTTTAGCCGACCAGGATATCATTAAATAAAACATCTACATTGCATGATATACCAGAAGATACATCATATTCTAGAAACCTTTCGTAAGAAGTTAGTTATCATCAACTGCACTGCGGAATCCTTACATTCAAGTAGAATGACAAAGCCGTTGCCTCCACCAAATACCCACTTATCATCCATAAAATTAACAGTAATGATTCTTTTTACCCTTTACACATAAATGTAGCGCCAAAGAATATTTTGCAAAGCATATATATCACATTCACAAAACAGATCTATCAAGGCCAACATCCACTTAGTAGAAATAAAAATCATTATCTCAAAGAGTTAGTATTACCTGTCATCTTTGAACGATATATTTCTTGTTCCATTCCAATTTACTTGTTGTGTAGCAATAGAACACTAGCAGAAAAGCATCATTATATAACCATTTCTGAGTAATTCTTCCAAATTTCATATATTCCTTTCTATCACTATTACACGGTAGCAAACAAATACTGTTACAATTAACAGCAGGGTTCCTTCCTGATAGGAACAAGTGAGCTATTAGATAGTCACAATACACTACACACTATATCATTCATTATCCGCTTTCATACAAAAGAAAAAAGAATTATTTACACTTAAACTAAATCTTTAAAACATCTATGTAGTTTTTCTACTCTGCACCTCTAGGTACTTAAAAAAATCTTTGGATGGAGTAGAGAGGAAAACATGTTGATCATTCAACATTGTAATTACCTAATATGTTAGAATTCAAAAGGTTTCCCAAAATAAGAAAAATAAAAACTTTTGAAGGTTCTCTACTCTCTACTGGCAAAAAAACTGCTTTACTGAAGAATGCCACAAGACTTTCAAGCATAAATGATAATCATAAATAAATACATAAAAAGACAATAAATCAAATAAACAATATAAACATATTATTACTAAATGTGACAAAAAAAAAAAATCAAAATTAAATACGATATTCAAAAGAAATTGGTTCCTCTCACTGACATCAAACTAAGCAACTTTGTTAATGTATCTTCAATATCAACATATACTAAGTGGATATTGGCCTAACATATATATTTTTAAAAAAGAGTACTAATGGACAACTGTAAAATACTGAGTAAAAAGAGAATCAAGTCTAGTCTCAGAAAATACAACATAAGCATAAAATAGAGTACAGAAAACAAAACAAAAAATGATAACATAAAGTGCAGCACATAAAACAAATTCTTGCAAGGGGGGCAGCCATGCACACAAAACAACACACAGAGAATGGAATATACATAAAACAGACCACCTGACCTCGGAGAGCCTCACCTGACAAGCATCATGCGTGACAGAGGCGGCTGCTACAGGACAGGAGGCCAGGTCATGGGGGGATCCAGCACATGGTGGATGACACCCAAAGCGATGGACCTCGGCAACTACCAGCCGCCGTGGATTACTACTGCCTCCAACACCTTTACTAGTACCACTAGCCCCGTCGCCGAAACTATCATTAGCTAAGCTCACGTCACTGGTCCAAAGATGTGAGTCTATGTGGGATAAATTGAGCTTTGTGAGGGTACTTCTCAAGTGTGACTGTATTTACTAAGATTAGAGATGTTAAATTTTACCTTATTTGCTACTTCTAAATTACTTCCCATGAGTAAATTCTAATCTATGACTAGTGTCAACATGAATATCTTCTTATGTGATTACCTAATTTGTATGAGTATTCTTCAGTATTTGGTGAACCAGGCTTATCCATTGTGGATCCTAAACACTACTACCATGTGTATCATTAGCCCAATGCCACTGGGAAAATGTACTATTCACTGTAGTTTTGTTTCATGATATGTCTGTACACATAGATGGCTCTATAAGTGCAGAGCCACCACGGAGTCAATTAGTAGACTTCTCCTTATTTCAGTTTTTCTTTGAGTTTTTTTTTTTTTTTTTTTTTTTTACTAATGCCATTTATATAAATGTTAACATTATTATCATAGACATTATGGTTATCATACTGTTATCTATATTACTAATGCTAACATAAAATTAAATAGTTTATTTCCAAAGATAGATAGTACTAGTAATTGTCTCATTTGTGACTAGGCACTTGTGAAGCCATCTATGTGTAAAGACAATTAATAAAATAAATGCACAGTGGCCATGCCATATATGTACAAGTCATTCCTGCTAGCATTGGGTTAAATACATTTTTTCTTAAAAATGTCTACTGTTTCTTCAAAATAGTATTCTAAAATAGCAGGTAGTATACTGTCAGTCCCATTTTTATTTTGTCCAACATTCTTTGGTATCATTTACTAATCATCAATAAATCAATTTAACCTGAGAAGCAGTTCTGACAAATTGTCTATGTAGAACTAAATCTGAATTATGAAAATATACATGAATGAATAAATGAATTGGGTTT